CATGCGTCTTTTTTTATGGTTCTGTGACTTTAATTGACAAAGGAAAATTTTATTGATTTATGGTGGTCAACGTGGTTTTGATATATATATGCATTGTGGAATAACTAAATGAAGCTAATTAACATATCCATCATTTCACATACTTATTTTTTTGTGGTGAAAACATTGTACTCTCTTAGTGATTTTCAAGCATGCAAAACATTATTATTAACTATAGTCATCATGCGTGGTGGACAACAGATCTCCAGAATTTATTTTTCCTAACTGAAACATTTTACCTTTTGGTCAATATATCCACATATTATACACCGCTCCTTGCCCCACCGATTTGCTAAACACCATTCTACTCTCTGCTTCTGAGTCTGACTTTTTAAAATTGCACATGTAAGTGAGATCATGCAATGTTTGTCTTTCTGGGCCCAACTTATTTCACTTAATGTAATTTCCTCTACATTTGTCCATGTTGTCGCAAATGACAGGATTTCCTTTTTTGAACCACTTTTAAAGAAGGAAATTGTACATATTACAATGAAAACAAATCAGTATGCTTATCCTAAAACTCATTACAAATGTACTAATACTAGGCATTTACATGTCTTTTCATTTTTTCCCCCGTTCTTACACTTTGTAGATGTCATTTTTTTTTTTTATAATATTTCTCTGGGATTTCAAAAATATTTGAGTATTTTTGCACTTTCCTAGGATTTAGTAACCATACTAGACTTATAAGAAAATTTAAGATGGACTTATAAGATAAAAATTTAATCTCTTAAATTAGCCAATTCTGGGTTGTTGACTAATGATTTTTTTGTCAAGTAATTGGAATTATATGTGCATTCAGAGAAGATTCAGACCCAAGATATTGGCCATAAGATTGGACTTTCTCTTTACAATTGAACTTTACTTGTAGGCCTTTATGACTTTTTTTTTTTTTTTAAAGTTCAAACCTAGCTTTTAATTTTGTGTAGTACTGATGTCATCTCACAAAATGATTTTATTTTTAAGTCCCAGTTGCTCATATTATGTAACAGCTTTCCCATTATTATGATATATAGACCTGGTATGTTAACATTGTTGAAAATTCATGAACTCTCATTGTTATTTCCCTGTTATGAAGGGCTATCTAGCATTTTGATCTACCAGGAGATGAGAGACTATTTCTGCTTAGTTATCACTCTACTTGTATGTTCTGCTAATTTATCAGATGTCTGAAATGCAGTTGGGCCCTCTAAGATTTGGGATATGATTATTAGTGTTAATTCATTGCTGGATTTCTTTTCCACTCTATTATTATATGTGACCATCGGTACTGATCAATCCTTTCTATTCCTGGTAGAGAATTACTTTTGGTACCACTACTTTATTTACAGGTCCCTGCTTAAACAGACAGAGAGGAGTACATGTCTACTGTTTATAGGCATGCATATAATTAGAAACACAAAATACCCATATATTAACCAGTTTTTAAAACAATAGAAATGATTTTCTACCTTATTTGTGTTTTCTTGTATTATTAATGCCTCTTTATATACTTTATATTAGCTTTTCTCTTTGAGTTTTATGAACTCATAACCTTCAACAGACTCAAATTGTTCCATTTAACTATATTGATCATTATTATTATTATATTTTTAATGTTCATACTATCAGAGATTAGCCAGGGAGAAGCCATTTAAGTTGCTTTCAATACAGCTTCTGACTTTTTTTATTTTTAGGTGAACCTTGTTTTCTAGCAACAAAAGGATTTTCCAGAAATGTTGTATTTTCTTTTCCTTTCCTAATAACTAAGGAACCCTGTTTCTTTTACTGTTGGTGGATATTGTGCAACAAGTATCCATATGTTAGAATTGCCCAGAAGTGCTGGCTGTGGTCAAGAGTACTGTTGCTACTATTGGTCTCTTTTAGGGAGAGATCTGGAAAAGAATATTTTTATAAATTTATGAGTTCACATCGATTATCTTCTGTAACATATCATGTTTCTGTCTCTTCTTTTATTATGAGGTTTCACCAACTTCAAAGACTCTCTGTATACTAACAAGAAAGTTGCTTTGTAAGCAAGATATCAAAGCAAGGCAATTTAGGAGTAGATTTAAGAAGCAATTCATCTAGACCAGTGCTAAATGTTTCAAATGTTAAAAGTCACTTGCAAAATGAGAATAAATCAGAACAATATAGTGAGTTTTTAAAATCTGATTTGTTCACTTTATTGGTGTCAGTTTCTTATGTAGAATGTTGGAATAGCAGTGGCAGGGTTTTAAAGTATTTAATTTTTTTTTTTTTTTTTTTTTTCTTTTGTCTTTTTCCGTGTCCGGCAACGGATCGCAACCCTCAGTGTTGCCCCCGTACCGGACTGGGGACCGGCAACGGGACCGCAACCCTCGGTGTTGCTCCCGTGCCTCGCTCAGCCAGTGAGCGGGAACCGGTCCGTATGTGGGATCCGAACCCTCGGGCGGGAGCGCCGCCGCGCTTCCCAAGCGGCACGCTTATCCAGTGCGCCACCGGGCCGGCCAAAGTATTTCACTGTTAAAAAAAATAAAACCTTATTTTATTTTATTTTCAAACAATGGGTGAATGTATTAATTGTCAAAATTCAAAAGGGGTTGAACAAACACACCTTGAAAAGTCAATGAAATCCATGGTTCCTTTGATGGCCGCGTTTTGCATCTTGCAATATCAATCACTAAACAGAGACTTCTCATTTCTGGAAAAGAGCTCTGGTCACCGAGTTTGGTTCAGATGTCTATCTTGGACCATCTGCCAAGGACAAGGAGTTTAGTTCATGTAAGAATCTGGTAGCTCCCTCAATAGCTAAGTAGATAGGGTGGCGTGGTTCCAAATGAAAGAAAGGAATGCTGTGAAAACAATGTCATAGGAGATTACAATGTGTAAGATGTCCTTAGCATGATAAAAAAGGTAATTTATGCCAAGCATTCATTCATTTCCTTTGTTATATCTTTCATTGCTTTCTAAGTGTTGTTGGTTGTATTAGTTTGCTATGGTTGACATAAAATACTACAGAGCAGGTGGCTCAAACATCAGAAATTTATTTTCTCACAGTTCTGGAGGCTGGAAGTCCAAGATCAAGGTATTGGCAAGTTTGGTATCTCGTGAGGCCTCTCTCCTTGACTTGTAAATGGCCCATTTGCTCCCTGTGTTCACGTGGTTCTACACATCTTCTCTCTGTGTTTTCAAAACACCATGTGGTCTATGCCCTAATATCCTCTTATAAGAACACCAGTCACAGTGGATTAGGGCCCTATCTCCAAATACAATCACATTCTAAGGTGCTGGGGTTAGAATTTTGTATGAACTTTGGAGAGAGGCAATTCAGTCAATGAATTCAAAATCCAAGTATAAAATTATTTGGCCTAATTTGAAGCTGGATAAATTACTACACTTTCACTATAAAATATACTTTTTTTTTTTTTTTGGCCTGTGTATTCCTGACTACCAGATGAAGATTCTTTCATTAGGATAGTGTTTAGTAAACATTAGTATTTAGCATTGTCATAAAATCTCCATTTTCCAAACTCTTCCTTTTCTACATTCAACTTCAATTGTGTTTCTTTTGGTGTTTTAATCTTGTATTTTGCATTTTTAATATGATAGCTTATATTTTGTTGTCTATATTTTATAACATCTTTTTGATATATATATAAATAGTTCTTATTAGGTTATCCCTGCCACCGTATGGAACAGAGCTTCTAATAAACAGTTAAATTTATTTATAGTTTAAATTATGAGTTACCTTCATTGGGAGAAAGGAGCAATTAGTCTTGGCAATAATTATCACCTTTCAAACCATTGTGCTCTATTCATGAATCATACATGTTTCTAAAGTTTAATAATGTTTAATTCCATTTGTTAAAGTGAGAGTGGTTTATTTAAAGTCCCAGTGTCCTTGTTTATAATACCAAGAACTAAAGTATTCAGTTCCCATTTGAAAATATTATTAGCCTTCCTTTAATGAATGTTTACTTTGTTTAATATAAATTATGGTAACATTCAAATCAATTAAAAAAAGTGATCTGAAATGTTGTGGCATCATTTAGTATGTAGGTTATTTTTCTTGATCCTAATTTTGATACTTTTGTTATTTCATTCTTAGTCTCTAAATGTAAGTTTTTCTTTTTCTTAATACATCTGTCACCTATCTATGCACACAGATGCACAAATCAGGACTTTATTTCTCCCTCAAGAATACCTATCTCTGCATATCACCATCTCACACAAAGACTTCTCAATATATCCTTCTCATTTATTTTGCTATTTGCTCTTTTGCAAAAAAATATGAAACATAATCTTAGCTCTGATCATTATGGTATAATGAAAGTGTATATTAATTTTTAACCTAATTGATATATATTTCTTCTCATTCCTCCTAATCTAAAGCAAATGATTGATAAGTGGTAACAAGATTCCTACTTCCAATTTGGTCTAAATTAGTGTTTCACAGGTGGGACTGTACACAAAATTTGTTTGAGAAACAGTTCATTAAATATGTCAGAAGAATGTTAGATTTGAAATATTAATATTAGAAAAAGGAACTAAAGTTTTATTTCATAGACTTCTGTGTTTTTGAAAAAACTTTATATTCATTCTGTACATTCTTAATGAATAAATTCTTTTTTTTAATGATCATTAAAGAAGTTTTGATTAAAACAAATACTTTTCTTTTTTTCTAGTATCTAGAAGTAATTTCCTTTATTCTAATATTGCTGATACCTGCTCATACGGACTTCCATTTCATTATGTCACATGTCCTTTAAGAAAGTTCGTGTGCAAATAATTGGAAAAGTTAAGAATTTTTAAAATAACTTTTGGAATTTTTTATTGGAGTGATAATTTTAAAGTCTTTGAGAGTCAAAGAATTTCTGGAATTTAGTTAATACTTCTCATTTTTGATTTTGAGTTTTTTATGCCTATGGCCTTTGCATATAGATATTTCCTCAGTTTCTCAGTGCTTTGGTTTCTAACTGTTGGTTTTTCTTTTTCTTCAGGATGTTTTGAATAATTTGGGATCCTGTGAACTGGATGAAGATGATCTAATGCTCGATCTAGAGTTTTTAGAGGAGCAGAATCTTCATCCTCCTGGTAAGTGCTGAACAAATGTATAGTATCATACAACTCTAATCCTAGTAAATTAGCTTTCATTGATAAGCTAAATATTGCTCAGCTGCCTTCAGTATTTTCAATCCCCAGTTTTTACATTCTATGTGCAAGGAACGTGCCAGGCACCATAGATACAGAATGCTGATGTCTTAAATGATTTTAAGTCTACTATGGAAGTATAAATTCAGTTGGAAGATAACTATAAAATTAGAAAAAACTACAAAACTTTTCAAAGAAGGAAGTATTCTAATTAAACACAACAATGAAACAAAATTAATATTTTCTTTTTTTGTGGAAGAAAACAATGATTATAATCCCATTTTTCACTTATTCCCATTTTTCACTTATTTTATATAACCAAATGGAATTTTTGTGGATCAGAGTTTACTATTGTAAATATTAGCCACTTCAACAATAATTACAAGGGTTAATGTTGATGCAATAAGATTGACTTCAAAATTAATAATTACCAATAGCAGCCACAAACATATACTCACAAACACGCACATACACATAGAGTTATAGTATGAGATAAATAAATTCATGTTGAATGAATTAAGAGGGGAGCCCACTATATTTGTAGTTTAAATTTATATTAAAGCATAAAATGTCATGTCTCCAAATTCAAAATTTACTCTCTTTGAAGTGGTTGTAGGTATTGTTTATTCAAAGTTAGATATTTGACAGTAAAGGAAAGCTTTTACACTCACTTTTTTACTGCTAACATTGTCATTTTTGAGTTAAAGTACAAGTAACATTAAATTAGAGATTTAAAAACTGGAGTTTTACTACATAAATTTGAGTAAATCCACCTCTTGGATATTGGTGTCCTTATTTTTAACTTGTGGAAACTAGATGTAATCTCTTGCTATAACAGTTTATGATGAATTTTTGTTCATATATTGTTTTTATATCATAGATAATATTAGATTAACACTGTCAAAAGAAGGTAATAGCAATAGTTATATTTTCTTACACTCTATTTTAAGCTAATTTTTTTAAGTTGCTTTTTACGTTTTTTTAGTTGAATACCAATTTAGGATAAAAATTTCTTGGGACAATTTTCTGCAGTTGATTTGATGGATATCCTTTTAAAAATGCAGATTTTTCTCACTTTTATGCAGACAGCTTCTATGATTTTGTCATTCATGTGTATTTGTCTTAAAAAAGTTATACAGGGTAGAAATGTGAAAAGGTATACTCCTTTGAAAGTAAATTTGTCAATATGTAGCAAAACTATATGTGTATTTACCTTTAGATCCAACTATCCAACTTCTAGATGTTTAATCTTATGGTATTGTCAAAATACAGAGTAATGTATGCATCTAACTATTCATTGAGAAATATTCGTAAGTATTGGAAACATCTCAAATGTCCATCAGTGGGACACTTATTGATTATATGGTGGCATACTAAGCAATCATTAAAAGGAATAAGGTGTTCATGTCTGCAGTGGCATGATTGCAAGGATATATTGTTGATGGAGAACTTTACAATGATGGATTAGACGGCAGTGCCTAAACCCACTGATAAAATACCCTAACATTGCTAAATGTGAAATAACTAGACATTTTGTCCCTCTTGATACAATGCTGAGAGAAGTACACAGCACCACCTTCTTGCTCCCTCTCCTCTCCCTATCCCCCTTCCAGTAAGTACTTAAATCTACTCAGGAGGCTGGATAATGATTTTACAGGAAATATTGGTATGGGCAGAGAGAAAATGTTAAATGGCATGATAAGATTTCTGGCAACCAAATTTAGGAGGTGGGGAATTCTACAGGATATATGGTCTGTTTCTTCAACAAATAAATGGCATGATAAAAAGGAAGGGATGATAGTTGTAGATTAAAAGTGGCAAATGCAATGTGACATCCTTATTGGTATACTTTTGTAAAAATAGATAAATTGGGATTTATTTTACCATGAAGTATGGGGAAGGGAATATATGAAACAAAGTTGACAAATTGTTGAAAATTATCAAAGCTGGTATTAGGTGGATGGGATGAAAGTTTAATGGGTTAATCATAATATTCTCTCTACATTTGTGTATTTATGAAAACTGTATAATAAAAATAAAACAAAATAATAATTGAAAAAATTATTGCTATATATAATGTAGCAATTTCAGTTATGCTTGGTAGACAACCATGATGAAGAGCAAAGAATGACTTAAAAATCTGAAGATGAAAACATTATTACACTATTCTAAAGATGAAAAAAATATTACTTTCTATTCTCACAGAAGTACAGTGTAGAATAATAGTACCAGAGGCCAAGAGGGGAAGAGGTAGCAGGGGTGGAGAAGTGGTGGGGTAGCCGGTACAAAACTATGCTATCTACCCTAAGTGAATCGTCGTGTAGTACATGGATGTATTGCAAGAACACACTGTACCCCACAAAAATCTACAAGTAAATGTTAAAATTTAAAAAAATAATAAAAATATAAAGATAATTTAGCTCATTGTATTACCTTGGGGACATAAATTAATCTCTTTAAACTTTAACTTCTTTTTTATAATTAATATTGTACTATGTACCTCATTAGTTTATTTTAAAGAAAAAAAAGATTTAATTAATGCTATGAATCTCTAATTCAAGGTGTAGGTTGTTTGGTTGAAGCCAAAAGTAGGGAACCATATAAATCAACTGAGTTAACCAAATTTTTCATATGATAAATGGTGTCAGTTTGCATATTTAAAGTGCAGTTGTGATGGATGAAATATTCTTGCCCAAAGTGTCTTAGGTTCGTTTAATGTCACTTAATAAAGTGTCTTTTGAAAACCTATTTCACTTTAAATGCCACATTATTTGGTTTAAAACAGCAAATATATATTTATGTATATTAGCTGAGAAAAGAATTTCTGTTTGAACTGGTTTTATACAGTTTATTCCCTTTATAAGGCAACATAATTAAAGGTCTTCCCAGATTATAAGAAGCTCATTATAGATAATTGATAATAATACAAAGATCACTAATGCTAAACATTCTAAAATGATGGTTTTAATAAAAGAAAAGTGATTTTCAAAGTCTGAAAATTAATATAAAAATACCACTAAATTCTACTACTTATATTACTGAAAATCATTAAGGGGTTTTAACAAACTTTGCTAAGACAAAGCATATCAACTTTTGTCTGTAGAGGCTCATTAAAGCAAAGATTTAGAATAGTTTATACTAAGTATAATGGCCAAGGTGAACTTTTTAAAAGACCATAAAAGTGCTTTTTTGCTTTGAAAATAGAAAGTCTAAAACTTGTAGTAATTGTCGTTCATGAAATTTATACATTTTATTCAGTTTAGCATATAATTAATAATGATTAGAGTTGAGAAGACTAATCACCATGTGCAGAAAATATAGAAATTCTTCTGGCCTCTTTTCTATAGTAACTTGCACACATAGTACATGCTCAATTGATATCAATTAATGTGATTTTGTTTAAAACATAGTCAGGCTCCTTTAGACATGTATGAAATGAAAAAAAAATAAAAACAATAAAAACAACAATTAGAAATTTTAATTTTGTTTTTTTCTTTACAGAAAAGCAAACATCTTTAAATTAAGAGACCTGTTTTACTAGACCAAGTTAAAAAATGTGTAATTAGAAAATTTCCTCTCATTTTTTCAAAACATATATTAGATACATGATTTAACATGCAAAGAGACATTCTAAAGGGCAATAGAATAGATAATAAATTCACATGTATTAATATTCATATAGTATTAATCATTTATTGGTTGATGTTCTACTTGTAGTATAAGCAATACGAGCTAAGGCATATCAACCAGGCCAAAATGTCAGAATAGCACAAAAGAGAAAAAGCCAATTTGAGTTGTGTAGTTCAAGGTCTGTGTCAGAGAAATGCTCATAGTATTCAGCCATTAAAAAAAAGAATGAAATTCTGCCATTTGCAGCAACATGGATGAGCTTGAAGAAAATTAGGTTAAGTGAAATAAGCCAGGCACAGAAAGAGAAATACTGCATGTCCTCACTCCTACGTGGGAGCTAAAAAATAAATAAAAAAGAGAGAAAGAAAGGTACGACGATCACAATGTAGTCAGTTGAACTTTCAAGAAGAGAGAACAGAACTGTGGTTACTAGAGGCGGGAAAGGGGATGGGGGATTAGCAAGAAATTGGTGAAGGGTCACAAAGAATGCCTACATTTTGTAATGATGAATATACTAATTATCCTAATTTAATTATCACATATTGTACATAGGCATTGATATTCAACACCGTACCCCACAAATATGTATAGTCGATTATGTTTCAATTAAAAATAAAGAATTATAAATAAATAAAATAAAATATCTCCTTTAAGAAAAAAGAAGTGCTCATATACATAGATGTTTAGATATTTAACTTCATATTCTATTGTTGAATTTTGAACATATTCTATTATTGAATACGTTGAGCAGATTCTACATTGTTGAATTTTGTGTTTATTACTGTGCCTAGCTTGGTAAAATGGCCATTTATTATTGTAGTCATAATAGATATGGACATCTTTTACTCTGCTTTTTATTTCATTCTTTGCTATCTGTATTTTCATCTAAAAGTGAGTTGTAAATTCACAGTTAGGTTTTAAAAAGTTTGTTTTCTGACCATTGTATTGAATACTTTGAATAAATTTCCATGAAATTTCTCTTTGAATATGTAAATATATCTATAGAGTCATAAATAAATTATATTAGTCCTAAACATCTTTCTAAAGGGAGAGATAGTACAAATGATAGTTCAAATAAAATATGTTTTATAGTGCAGTATGTAGATATCACTTTTTTATGAAAACAAGAAAGAACAATTTCAGTGAAAGAAAGGAATGTGAATTCAAAGTGAGTTCCCAAAAGGAAACTAGCCTTGAGGAGAAAAAAACTAAAAGCCACTATTCTGAATAATTTACTCTGATCTGGGATTATCTAATTTCATCTTTGTAAATTCTAATCTTAAAGACAAAGGTTTACATTAAAAAGTCTGTGG